CACCAACAGCCATGAATCCTCGACATGGAACTGCTGAACATGGAATGGGGGAATGGGTTCTAAGCAGCATTCACTGGGGACTATTCAGGGCTTGCTATATACAGGGATCCGATTTCTTCAGAAACTTGGAGGTGTCATCCAGATATCACCTACACTCGTTCGCGATCCTCTTGGTCACCAGGATTTGTGGGGGGATACCTCATGGTCTGAAAGAATCAGCCGTGGGCCGTGTCTTGCATGTAGGCACTGCCTCGGCCCAAAAAACTTCGCAAGCAGAACGCCCCAGACCGTATCTAAATCTAAAGGCATGAATATTGAATCCGAGAATCCCGAACCCCTAACGCGTAAAATGGGATGTTTTGCAGCCGGTAAGCACGAACCCTAATCCATTTAAAGCATATATACATACATGGCAGACCCGAAACAATAAACACCATGTCATTCAACGAATGGTGGAATTTCAGGTTGTAGCTTTTGTTTGAACTTTAAGCTACCCAGACGCCTCTGGACTCAACATGTCTAAACCTCAAGATTCCCCGCTCCCACTCCCACGCACATGTCTTGCGCATGTAGGGGAATGTGCCGAATCACAGAGCATGAAGCTTAGCTGACTGCGGCACAGGGACTGTAATCTCGACCTTGCTCGTGTGGACGTTCGATGCAAGGGCAACTTGCATGAAGTGTTGCGTCACTTGCCTGCTTGAAACAATCAAAACGGCGCACACAGCCACAGTGTTGGAGTTTCGGGCTTTCTGCAGGACCACCTGCATGTATGTATATAGATATGTACAGAAGCAAAACGGAAGTGGAAATTGGTTCCGGCTATGTCTGACGATGTTGAAACCCGGTATATATCCCTGTTATGAAGAACTGTGCGCAGCCGCAAAATCACTCAGCACCCCTGGAAAGATCAAGAAGCCTCTGGATTCGAAGCTATGCAGCCCTGCAACCCTAGTCCTGTTGAGGTCACTTCAAAACTACGACCCTGATTTGTTTAGGGGAGCCGGCCTCTCCCCCTTCCTAGATAGCTACCCATTTTCGTTGGGGGGAGTCTAGTACACTTCGCTTCGTCCTTTGTCATCAGCCTTGATCTCTGTGCTAGGCATTGTGGAGGGCAGGACGTCTGAGTCCAGCTGCAGGGTTGCAACTTGCTCTAGATGTCCAAAAGATATTAAGTATGGGCGAAGAGTAGGCTTCGCGCCGTATCGATTGCACGAGTGTCAAACACGTTTTAGTGGAACATGAAACCTTTTAGTACCTCCTTTCTTTGATTCTTTTCAGCATCTCTTCTTTTCCTGATTGGGGGAGGTCGCCTTCCCAGCGACAGCTGTCATAACCCACATGATGCATCAACCTCGAGAATAACAAAACATCCCGCTGGTCTAGTTGACCGACTCGATTGCTCTGGCATCGATGCACATTTACAGCGAACCCTTGTCTGTCACGGTTCCCATACCTATTCTCGCAACATCTAATCATCTAATCTAATCTTACCACTGCAAAGACTCCGGAGCCCTCAACCCAAAACACACACTCATGTACGAAACATCCCTAACCGTAGGCGCCCTATGAAGACTTTAACCGAGCCAGGATGCTGAGTCTGAAGCCTCGCAAGTGAGATTCAGGACTTTTTGGATTGAGGGATGGAAAGGTTAGACAATGCGAGATTTGGGACTCTGTTGCCAAGTTGGACACATATTCAACTTGGATCATAACATTAATGATTGCTGTCTCGCATACACACAACAACGTCCAATAGAAATACATCCATCGGTGTTGAATCGAGTGTGGGTCTCAAAAAAGAGGGTGCTAGTGCAGACCGTCTATTCATCCCGAACGAAAAGCAGGAAGGCGTACCACGTCCCAAGCCTCAAGCTGCATATATGATTCGTAGCAGCAACCCCGTAACATGAAAACGTGAAAGCCTTCTAGCACTGATCCTCTGGAAAAAAGTTGCTGACCTGCACACACCAGTTGCACAAGTTCTTGATGAGCCTCAGATACCATCAGGACGGGAAGTCTTGCAAGGAAAGTAAAAATTTCGAGGGGGCGCAGATGGGATCCACCAGAAGGGATCGGGATATTGCAAAATT